ATGATATGCTTCAAAATAATTCACTTTGGGGAGTAAGGCAGAGGTGAAGCAAGATTGGGTCATGACTCATTTGTTGAAACTGTGTGATGGATACAAGAAGGATCATTAAAATATTTTCTCTACTTTGTATGTTTCAAATTGTCCATAAGAAACAGTTGAGGAGAAAAGCAGACAAAAGAAACCCTAGAGAAAAATAGAAATGCTCTCTATTTCAGGGAGAGGAAATTATACCTACAATGTGCCTTTAACAGTAAAATACTTCACAAACACCTATTTGTTTTCCATTAATTAACCATGAATCATTTTTTTCCCCTAGGAAAGAAAAAAGGTGGTACTGTGTTGACTCAGTCTGTGTTTACTGAGGCTATCCAACTCCCTAGCAAGCTTGTTTTGGGTTTTTTTTTTTTTTGAACTCTAGTTGTCTATAGGTGCTAACCACACAGTTTTCCATCTTGCCCCAGGCTCAATCACCGTCAGGTTAATTATTGAGAAGGAAATCACCCATCATCAAGTATAGACATCACACTGGGTTGCCATTCTACTTCTTTGCCTAAATATCAGAGATAAGAGAGGTGATGTCCTGTCTGCACCCTTCCTGGAAAGTGTAAATGGAGCATTATATTAAGGACAGAGAAACAAAAAGTGCTGAAAGCTTCTGGCCTCCCCCGGAGCCATACAGCAACACCCCCTAAACACACAAGCACACAGAATACTATCTTTTTTGCAGTCACAATACAATGAAAAATTGGTCATTTGAACCACACACTAGAGTGACTCAATTCAATCTTCCTAGTAACTCTACTCATTCACTTTTGGGGCAAATATTTACAAGCACAATGGTGTGCAAGAGCTGAATATGCCTTCATCAACAACACCCCTGCCCTCAGGGAACTTACTCTCTAAACAATGAGCCATCACACAATGCAGTGCAGAAAGAAAAAGTAGAGTACTTCGATACCATACAACAATTAGCCTTAGAGAAGTTATGGACAGCTTCCCAAAGATGACATCTTTTTCCAATTCCATTACTGACTCCTACAATGACACCATACAGGTTTTAAAATCTGCTGTGAAACTAAGGCATTTAAAGTTTTTATTTTTTAAGGGTCTCTAAATTTTCAGGCACTAATATAGAAATCCTAATCAGTTATTAGTACCAATTAATTCAATCTAAACACAATTTTGTTAAGTTTCACAAATCCAAAATCTGTGGAAGTCCAGAATTTCACAAATCACCTTGGGGAAAAAAACAGTAATTTGTCTTTTGAGTTTAATCATTTCAAAAACGTCAACCAGGCGCAGTGGCTCATACCTGTCATCCCAACACCGTGGGAGGCTGAGGTGGGTGGATCACCTCAGGTCAGGAGTTCAAGACCAGCCTGGCCAACATGGTGAAACCCCGTCTCTACTAAAAAGACAAAAATTAGCCAGGCATGGTGGCAGGTGCCGCCTGTAATCCCAGCTACTTGGGAGGCTGAGGTAGGAGAATCGCTTGAATCCTGGAGGTGGAAGTTGCAGTGAGCCGAGATCGTGCCCATGACATTGCACTCCAACCCCGGTGACACAGCGAGACTCCGTCTCAACAACAACAACAAAAAGTCAAAATGTATTACCAATTTCTTCCCACCAAAATTAATCATGCTAACAACTAATACTACAAATTATAGAACAAGAATAAGGCAATACAAATACAAGAATGCAAACGAAACTAGGTTGACCTCTGAACGATAACCAAATTTTGTCTTAATATTTGCCTACTTGTGCTAAATGGCAGAAGAGGGATGATATACTACCTAAACCATAAATAATTTCCCTCCATCTAAATCAAGACTTCCAACTTTCTGCCACAATATTAACCCTTGGGTAGTCTTGCCTTGGGTAGGTTTCCTACCAAAACCACAAATAATTTCCCTCTATCTAAATCAAGAGTTCCAAACTTCTGCCACAGCATTAACCCTTGGGTAGTCTTGCCTGATAGGAGTTGGTCAAAGTAAGTTACAAGAATTAGTGAAAAGAAAAAACAGGCAGAGTGCCTGGCTTAGCAGTTTTGAATTTTAGGGGTGGGGACATGTAAATGATCCTTTTGAGAATCCAAGAGAAGCTGTGAACACCTACCCTAGAAAACTGACACATTATTTTGCATACAATTTCAGCGGAACTACAATCCCCTGAAGCCTTTTCAAAGGTCAAAGATTAAAAAACCCCATACCTAGAAATATAGAACTAAGAAGTCAGGCCTAAGGTTATCAGCAGTCGGAAGAGTTAAAAGGAATTAGTGTGTACTGAGTCATTCACATGTTATCTAATTTAATTTCAACTCCTACAATAACCTTGGGAAGTTGGTATTATTATCTTCCAAAGAGGGAAAGCATATTCGGAAAGATGAAACAACTAATGCAAGGTTAAGCAGCTTTCTCTCACACCCAGGCTTTATAACCCCTAGGTCCAAAATTGCAAATTGGAGAATTCAAGTCAAGTGCATATTCCTAGAGATCTTTCAAGATGAGGAGTTTCTGGTGAGGGTGGTGGCTCATGCCTGTAATCCCAGCTCTTTGGGGAGGCCGAGGCGGGAGAATCACCTGAGGTCAGGAGCTCGAGACCAGACAGAGGAATCAGTATGGATTTAACTTCAAAACATCTTTTCTTAGTAGCAGATTTTATCCAGACAATGAATAATGGTCTAGTAAGTTTTGATAATATTAAATGTATTTTCATTTCTGAAGCAGCCTATAACGGTCTGTTACGAGAACATAAAGGTCCACTGAGTGAGTGCCGGACATCCTCAAACTTGGATTTTAAAATATCCCCAGAAAATCCACAAAGTCACAAACAAATGAAGAACTGACTGAATTTAAAACTTCAGCCTCGATTCAGGCATAAGTTCCAAGTGGCCTGGTAGCTACAGTATCCTCTAAATGGTTACAGCAGCTTTAAAAGGGGGAGGAGGGGAACCCTTAAAAAAACACTAATAAGTGCCGGGCGCGGTGACTCACACCTGTAATCCCAGCACTTTGGGAGGCCGAGGCAGGCGGATCACGAGATCAGGAGATCAAGACCATCCTGGTCAACACGGTGAAACCCCGTCTCTACTAAAACACAAAAAATTAGCTGGGCGTGGTGGCCTGCTGCCTGTAGTCCCAGCTACTAGGGAGGCCGAAGCAGGAGAATCGCTTGAACCCAGGAGGTGGAGGTTGCACGGAGCCAAGATCACACCACTACACTCCAGCCTGGCGACAGAGCGAGACTCCTTCTCAAAAAAACAAAACAAAACAAAATAAAAACACTAACAAGATTCATGTCCCTTTTGTGCCTCAAAGCAGGTAGTTTAAGGTCTTAAATATTCATGGAAAACATGCTGATAAATGTATCCCAACAGAAAATAACACATACAGCAAAAATTAGATACAGTCCCCTTAATTTGGTTGGATCCCTGTCCAGCTCAAGGCACCCAGTGTAACATTAATACACTTAACTCATCCTTTACAGCAGAATTATTGATAATTAGAATCTTGTTTTCCCACAGATTTAGAAAGATTTTATGGGATATGTATCCACACCCAGAGAATGAAAACTAAGAACAAGAGTGGGTCAGGTCCTCTAAAGCCCTACTCCAACTACTTCCTATGAGTTGCCACCTAGTGATTTTAACTTTTTAAGCCCAGGCAGGCTGCCAATTCAGCACTAAAACCGGACTAGCAACTGATTTTTCCTATTGCAACATCATCAACAAGTCCTGTGCTTTCCCTTGCTTTCCTTTACCCTCAAACAGCAATTCTCATTTTAAAAATCAACTAATTTGTTCTATAATCTGTTCCAATTGGAAGCTCTCATCGGGCTTTCACTGGTCTTACTCTTCCTCCCAGTGCCAAGAGACCAAGAAGTGGCCAATTCAAAAAAACTGAAACAGAGTTAAGTGAAGAAAAAGCAGGTGTGAAAAACAAGAAGGAAATGTGAAGACAGTAACAATGGGCAAACTTTGGACTTAAAAATGCTCCAGTTGCCAAAGTTCTACCTATTCTTGGGCCACAGACAAAAATTCTGCCAAAATAAACGGCTACAAGTGAGAAATAAAACTGCATTCGGGGACTATAAACTCAGTATTCCGGGTCCAAATCTCACTCAAAGCCTTGTCCTAAGTCACTGAAAGAATGACTTGAAACTGAACCCAAAGTTCACTGAACTTCAGAAGTCCTTTCTGACCACGGCGTGCCCAGGCCTAATGCAGGTATTAGACAGCAAAAGCTGACTATTGACAGAAAAAGAAAATCTCAAGAAAAAGTCTGACAGTTTCCAGATACCTGGCCTGACTTTCATTTGGAGACATACCTTTAGCTACAGCTATTTCCCTAGTGTATCTTTTTAACAAACAGTTTAAAACTAACAAATAATTAGACCCTGATTTCACTAGCTACGGGCAGTAAAGGCTTGTTTTACCAAATAAAATTCTGGCTTGCTTTCCCCCGGATCTTGGCAGCTCGCAAAAAAATGTGATCGAATTGCACTCCGGGTTATGATGATCTCTTTGTAGCATCCTCAACTTGTGCCTTAAATCCTACAGAAATAAGACTGCATAGATAAAGCAGCATCTTTAAGTTCAAAATTCGTTTCGACTGCCAACAAAAAATGTCCCCAAAGCATTCGTGGAAAGGTTTCAAAGCTGAGAATTCCTTCCTATACTCGTGTTTCTCCATAAGGAGATCAGAAATGCAGAGATCCAGGTTAAACTTCCCGCCGGTTCCCAGCACTCATCACCAATAATGCTGCTCCTGCCTGGCCACAGAAGGATTCCGGATGCTCCTTATTACAGGAGGCACCCAAACCAAACTTTCCAAGCGCTCTGCCCCCTCCCTCCCACCTCTCCTCAGGCAGCATCTTCGTAGGAACGGGGGAGTGGGGGAGTCGGGGAGTCGGTATGGTGGGCTGAAGTTCCCGGCCCCAGTGAAGTGTCAAGGAAACTTCCCAGGGGTTCGTACAAACTCCATCAGGGGGGCTGGACTCACCTTCCCGACAGAGCCCCATGACTTCTCGGTTTTTCCCAAACTCCTTGAAACTTTCGTCCAATTCTGTCCCTAGGAGATACACACACACAGGAGGAGGGGAGAGGCAGGTCAGTGGCCGGGAGTGTGACGCACGCTCACGCACGCACGGGGTAGGTGTGGGCACCTCCGCGTTCCGCAACCCAGCAAACGATAGCATCTCTGCCCCTCGAGGGGGCGGGTCACAGGACGGGGGCGGGGGGAGGGGAGGAGACACGAGGGGGTCGCGAGAGGGTGAAGGGGGGTAGGAGGGCGTGGACACTCACCGTCCTTTCCAGGAAGTTTGGAAGCCTCAACCCACAGATTCCACGACTGTCCCAGCATCACTTCAGGACTGGGTAGAGGCCTGCGCTCCCCGACCGTCGCCATTGCGGCCGCCGAGGTGGAGGCGGCGCCGGGCCCGCAGTCCTCCGGCCGTGGGCGCCGTGGCGGCGGCGGTGGCGGCTGCTGCTGCCGCTGGGGCTGCGGAGGCTGCTGCTGCTGCTGCCGGGCGGCCGCGGCCGCTGCTCCGCCCGCCGCCGCCGCGCGGCGCGGCTCCCCCCTGACGTCATCTGCGGCCCGCTCCGACATTCTTTCCGCTCCTACAATGTAACAAAAAAAAAGGGGGAAAGAGTCGCGCGGGGGCCGCTTTTTAAGGAGGCGCCGGGGAGTTCCGGCGGCGTGCGCGGCCCGTGGACCGGGTGGGGCACGCTGACAGCGCCCCCCTGGCCGCCCAGCCCCCCAAGCCCGCCTCCTGGAGGCCACCCCCCGCCCCGGGCGCAAAGTCCACGGCGCGGGCTAGCTTTCGCTTTCGACTCTCGCGGCCGCCCGAGGGAGGGGACGGGCAGCAGGCGGCCCGCCACCGCGGCGCTGGGTCCCCTGCTTGCCTCTGCCCAGGGACCTGCCGCGGAGGCCAGCGCCGGAGCGGCCCCGCTCCAGCGCCGCGCCCCACCACGACAGCCCGCGCGGGGAAGCCCGAGACGCACCCCAGGACCTCCAGTTGCCCACCCTTCGGCCGCTCGCATCCCCGGGCCCGGCCCGGCTGCCCCGCTCCTTCCTTCCGTCCGCGCGTCCGTCCGAGCGGCGGCGCCCGGCCGGCTCCCTTAAGCGGAGGCGCCTCCCGCCGCCTCCTCCCACTTGCCGGTCCCTCCCTCTCAGCTCGCTCCGGCGAAGTTTGCACGTCAAGCCCCCGGACTGGAGCCAGGGCGAAGTCGGAAATGCAGCCACCTATGGAGGAGCCAGCCGGCCGGCCCCAGGGCAGCGCAGGAGAGGCTGGTGCAGGGGGCACTTTGCCCTCAGCTTGCAGGCTGCCGCGCAGTTGTCAAAAGCATGAATGGGAAGCCGCGGCAGAGCGGACGCCGGGCATGCAGGGGACCTTGGGCTGGCGGGGAAGTGCCGCCCAGGTGTCTGCCCAGGTGTCAGGACGAAGTACCGTGTGCACGCCACGCCGCCCACATGTGTGCCCCCGACCCGCAATTGGAAGTCACATTGTGCGCCCGGGGAACTTGAATTCGTCCAGCAAAGAGAGACCATGAGATCAGTATGCGAGGGAATGGAGGAGAGTGAAACAAACCGAGAGGAGCTTTAACCTGTGTACATATTTTAGAAGCACCACCCCAAGTTTCTGGGTTTCCACTGCTCCTGGAAGTGATTCATTCACCCCAAAAATAAAAATCTGATTCATTTTTAACTTGAGTTGTTAGTCCTTCTCTCTTTATGGTTGTCTTTTCTTGGACAGGACGAGACCCCAGGGAGTAGGAGAATATAAGGAATTCCTACAAAACATGTTTAGAAAATACTGTTTTCGGTCAAATTTTGTTCACTAAATTAAGCATTGGCCTACAAAACTTAGCATCCTTCCCCAACACACACAATATTTGCTTAGCGACAGGCTACAGATGGCAAAATAAAAGGCTACTTAATGACCTAAAGCATTCAAAATACTTGAAACAGTAGCAGACCACACCAAACACTTTCAGTAAGTGTTGGTATTACTATTTTCTCAAATTGATGTGAACATTTGAAGCCAAGACAAAAACAATGATTCTGATCAGCATGTTTCACACTGCAGTAATATCATCTCCTGTAATGTGTGTCAGAGATGCTTGCTCCCAAGTGCTTTCTCTGACTAGATGGGGAGGAAGTGTAATTTTTTTTTTTTTTTTTTTTTTTAACCTCAAACATCTGGTGTGACAGAGGTGGCCAACTTCTTTGTTGGTCCAACTTGCAGAAACACAGAAAAGTTTACATAAGCATAAAAATTAATAAAGAAATGTTACTGCAACCCAAACATAAGGTGGGACTGGTAAAGAGGGTTTGGGGTTCAAAATTTAAAAGCACACACACACACATAGACACACACACATACACATATACATACACACACTTTTATTTTAGAAAGATTTAGAAATAAGTCTGTAAAATTTTTTCGTGCATTGCATGCAAACAAGTCCAAAAAGTACAACCATGGTTACTTCCTGTCCTTATCAAAATAACCAAAATAGTAGAAATGATTGGAAAGATTTAATTTTAAAAATCATTTCTAAAGCTTTAACTTCCTCCATAAGACTATCAATGAGAAAAATGCACAGGAGTAAAACATATAATTCCCTTGAAAGGAATATAGTTCCCTACTAACTTTTAACATAGCTTAGATGACCCCTGTGCAGATTTTCAATTTTTCATTCACGCCAAATCACTGCAAATCTGAATAATTACATGAAAACATCCAATCTCTGTTTTCCTAAAGTACATAATTTATTACTTGGAATTTTGAAATTCTACACTTAAGAAAAACGAAAATTTGGATTTTAACGGCATTTGAAACTACCATTGAAAAGAAAAGCTTGCAGCCACCAAGCCACATAGATAAAAAAGGGCGCTTGCTTGTTAAGTACAGCTCTTCAGATCCCTGAAAGTACAAAGTGAGAACAAAAATAAGGAGAATGGCAAACATGAAGTATGGTCCTACTTCCTCAAGACATTGCTTGATTTTCCCCTTTTGGATGTGAAACGACTTCAAGATTCACTAATATGACTTCTAGCCAATGGGGATCAATACAGCAACTTAAGAGTACTTCAACTTCGTTCCCAATTCCTGCTTGATACCTCTTTCTTTCTTCAAAGTTTTTGATTGGTTTAATAAAACACAACCAGGCTTAAAATGAAAAATATTAAGTATCCTCTTGGCATTATGATCGTTACTAAGGGAAATTATTACGAATAGCAGCTACCAATTACTGAGTTCCTCAATACTCAAAACTAATAGCAGCTATCAATCATTGAGGAATCTCATCAATAAGCACTATAAATAAATGTCTTATATCAAACTGAGCAATTCAGCTAAATCCTTTAGGAAACTTACTATCAAACTGAAGAGGATGTGCAGACAAGAGATTGACAGGCATTTCCTGGTATTTCTCCAACCAATTCTCTTTTGCTGCAGACAATGCATTTTATCCACTCTTTCTTCACCCATAAAAAAGTCCTAATTCCTAGAAATGTTCTGATATCCACGGTTGTTAGAGGTTTCCTTAAAGTTGGAATGAGTCACCAAAAAAAGTCAAAACAACAAGCTGAGACAGTGCATCTGATATTTGAATTTTGGCAACTTTTAAAAGCGTTCCTTATGCAAAGCACACTGTTTATAAACAAGAGTACAACAGAAACCCAATACTTAGCTGTATTATCTACAGGCCCACAGTAAAGAACTTGATGACCTCTTACCTAGATAATCTTCCCTTTCCATACCACCAAATTATAAAAAGAACATAAATATATATAAATTTTTTGTGTGTTTGTGTCTGTGGAGATGACAAGGTCTCACAGTGTTGCCCAGGCTGGTCTCAAACTCCTGAGCTCAAGCAGTCCTCCTGCCTTGGCCTCCAAAAGTGTTGAGATTACAGGCATGAGCCACCACACCAGGGCAATACAATTTATATTCACTTAATGCTATTTTAATATAGTATTATGCCTGTATAATATCAATCAGAGATTCTGCCAGTACATTTCTGATGATGCCTTGTAACTCTGAGGAACTTCACTGTCTGCAAACTGAAGTAATATTCATTGTATATGGCTTGAGTAATGAGTATTCAATGTATCCAACAATTCCTGATTGCCTGCTACAGACCAGGCACTCTACTGGGCACCAGGGTGAACATAAGATAGTAATTTCACTGAGTATGTGAGAAAAGTAGAAAGTAGGGGAAACAATTCATGAAAACACTCTTGTGGAAAAAAACTGTCACCGCCAACTAGATTGTATATGGCTTAAGAACTGGGCTGTCAGAGGTGAAGTACTGCAAATTCTGTGCATTTCATCCCTTCCAAGGACGTATTTAAAATGTGGTCTTATCTCATCACCCAAATTTAGGGATGTTCTCAGTAGATGCCAAGGGTAACAAGTCTCTCTTTACAGAAAGGATTCTTTGCACTCATAAAATGTTTTGTTCAAAGGCCAAAGGTGTCACAATGTACAAAAACAAAACAAAAAGTTGACCTTTCCAACATTAAATCCAGTTTAATGTAAAAAGGCAAAAACTACCCAAAACATTTCTAAGATACAAGATCCCACACAACCATTTTTACTTGGAAAAAACCACCAGTCCCAATACAACATTTTAATAAACTTGAAAAGCAGTAAGTACAGTATACTTATCTGTGTAAATTACAGGGTTGGTAACAGAGATTCTCCATTATCAACCCCAAAGGACTGAAGTCATTTGAGCAGCAAGAAACTCAGATCCACTGAATTAGGAATGTGTTGGCTTTGGTTTCTTTATATCCTCCTAAAATTGGCTGAGCCTTTGTTCAAATCCTCTCTCACTCCTCTGACTACATCTTTCCCTTTCCTTCTTTCTTCTCCAGAAAGAGCCAGGGCTGTATTCTGCACAAGAGGCATGCCTTTCCTTAACTATGCTCCCTCTAGTGAAATACCTTATAGCTTGTCATGAATATCAGTATTCCAGTAGAGGGAGAAGAGTGGAAAGAGTAAATTGAATTCATCAGCTCAGTGGTTGGAATTGATAGCAATCAAGTGCAAAATTAGGAATAATAAGGACAGTTGCAACAGTGAGGACTTAAAGACATAAATAGCTTTTTAAAAACTTAACCTGTACACATACTTGTTCTACAGTAAAATGTATCATTTGCTAAACATCTCAAAGCCTTGAATTTTTGGACTGTTTTCTTAATCATATGTTTGCATGTACATATGAACTCTCCCAAAGAAACATTCACCAGTAATAGTAAATTGCTTGAAAAGAGAAGAAAATTTCAAAATACACATATAAAAGGTAATAATAAATTATAACATAAAAGGTAATTAATAATGCCCAATGTTTGTAGGGATTTAAAACTGGATTGTAGTTTTATGACAAACTTGATTTGAAATGTTGATTTAAAGTCTTTAGGCTGAGGAGTTTTTTAAAAATGGAGAGTTTTAAGTTATAGAAAAGGAATGGAGGCCAGGTGTGATGGGCTGACGCCTGTAATCCCAGCACTTTGCGGGGCCAAGGCTCAGGAGTTCAAGACCAGTCTGGGCAACACACTGAGGCATCGTCTCTACTACAAAAAAAAAAAAAAACCAAAAAAACAGCGA